ATAAAAAAAAAAAAAAAAAGACAGAGTGTGGTCAAGAAAAAACATGCCTTACTCTAGAATCATTGTTCTAGTTCCAGTACCCTTCCTACACATTTATCTTTGCTCACTAGGTTGATCCTAATATGGCAGGGAACTGAGTTTTAGAGCAGCTATTTGGTGTCTAAGTTCGTAGGTCCCTTCAAACGATAACAAAATTATGACAGGAAACCAAACACTGGCAACAGTGACAAAATAGGGATTTTGGATTTGTAATATTCTAGAAAAAGTCAATGGTGGAAAGTTAGTGTTTGATCAATAAAGACCAGAGGCTTTAATTTTAAAATGTTATGAAATACCTCATTTTGTAATCCTTTTCATAGTACATAGTAAATAAACCCAGACCCTGGATGTCATCTATTCAAACTTGTTTTGCTGCATTATCTGCTACAGGGACAAGCGGTAGACAGGTTCTGATGGCATGTGGCACATTTTGAAAATAAGGTAATCACCCAGAAGCAGCAAGGGAAAGAAAGTAATAATCAGGTCACAGAAGAAGAAAAAAAAAAAAAGAAAGAAAGAAAAAAACTAACCTGTAATTAAAACTCGTGGATGATTCGTTTCAGAGAAAGAGGCTGAGTGAAAGTTGGCATCTGTTGGTACTTGCCGAGGGGAGACACTCAGAAACCGGACTGGCAAGATAGACGCCCAACAGCCATAAGCTGGGCTCTGTACCTTCTGACCCACCGCATGCCTCAGCATCTTAATGATTAGCATTTTCTTTTCAAACACCTGTAAGAAAAAAGGGGCAGAGTTTAACTACATAAGCTTTTATTTTTCCAACCCCTCAAAACATAAGATTTTTAATTGAAATATTTAATTGAAATTGTGGTTAATGAGCAAAGCCGTTTTGGGATTTAGGAGTTGAACTAAAGAGATTGCTGACCTCATCAATAGGAACTCAGTCAAGTGCCTGCTGTGAGCCCAGCCCTATAATGAAAGGATACAATGGTGGTCACACTATGTCCAGGCAAACAAAGGCCAGTTACAACTGCCATTGCACAATGCTTACACCAGCTGGGATCTAACGTGCCAGTGGAAGTTACTGTACAGAGAGCCATAAACATCACAAAAACAAAGCTAACGGTCCTAGCAAAGGTTTTAAACCTTGATTGCAACTGTTACCAACTTATCTACACACTGTCTAGGAGTACAAACAGGTCCCAGATTAAATGATGTAGTGGTGTCCTGAAAATCTTGTGTTAACGGTCACATGCTATCTTTGGAATGAACCACACTAGAAAAGCAGATGGTTAAGATAAAAAGAAAAAAAAAAAAGATTAAAAGGCTCCCAGTGGGGCCAGCAGCTGGCTTAGTAGTTGGGGGCACTGGACTCCCCTATGGCCCACCATGGTTCAGGTCCTGAACCTGGCAGCTTGCTTTCTCGTTTCATATCTCTCTCTCTTGCTCACTCGTTGTTTCTCTCTGGTCAAATTAAATGAGTAAATGAAGTTAAATAAAATAATTCTTAAAAAAAAAAAAAGGCTCCCAGCAATGTTACTAAGCCATGAATAATTTTTGTTTTATTGTTATCTCCTTAGAAAGGATCATTTGGGGGAACCAGCAGTTAGCGCAATGGCTATGTCGCTGGACTCCCACGTAGTCGACCGCGGTTCGCGTCCCGGACCCGGTGGCTTAAAACTCACGCCGGGCGCATGTGCGTGCGTGCCCAAGATCCCGAGAGGAGAATGGACGAGAAGGGATTGCGGCGTGACCATCCCCC